TGAAGGGGGCCTATAGGGATGCCGGGGAGGGACTCTTCATTAGGGACTGTAGTGACAGGACAAGGGGTAATGGGTTAAAACTTAAACAGGGGAAGTTTAGATTGGATATAAGGAAGAAGTTCTTTCCTGTGAGGGTGGTGAGGCACTGGAATGGGTTGCCCAGGGAGGTTGTGAATGCTCCATCCCTGGCAGTGATCAAGGCCAGGTTGGACAGAGCCTTGGGTGGCATGGTTTAGTGTGAGGTGTCCCTGCCCATGGCAGGGGGGTTGGAACTGGATGATCTTGAGGTCCTTTCCAACCCAAACTATTCCATGATTCTATGATTCCATTAACAATATGGATAGGACAGAAAACAAGATGGAAAATCTTGTAGGGGAAGGGGAAAGAGCTGGGGATATCAGTGCAGAGCTGGATGGCGGGAAAGCTCTACCACCCCCTGTTTGGAGGCTGAGGGTGACGCCCGCACTCCCCATCCTCTCACAGGGCTGTCTCTCACAGTTATTTCTTCACCTGACCCATGTTTCCCATTCCTGCAGCCATTCCCAGCCATGTCCCATCGCTGTGGAGGGGCTCGGCCATGGCCGTGGCTGTGGTGGGGCGCCTGGGGCCGGCCGGAACCGGTTGTGTCCGGTGTGAGGCAGCCCCGCGCCTCCCCTCAGAGGCGCCCGCGCCCGGCTCCGCTCTGCTGCTGGTCAAAAGGTGGGTGCCATTAAAAGCTTTGGTGCTAATAGAGCTGGGCTGGTTCATCCTGCAGAGGAGAATGCTCCAGGGAGACCTTAGAGCAGCTCCAGTGCCTAAAGGGGCTACGGGAAACCTGGAGAGGGGCTTTGGACCAGGGCCTGTAGGGACAGGACAAGGGGAATGGCTTGAACCTGCCAGAGGGGAGACTGAGATGAGCTCTTAGGCAGAAGCTCTTCCCTGTGAGGGTGCTGAGGCGCTGGCACAGGGTGCCCAGAGAAGCTGTGGCTGCCCCATCCCTGGCAGTGTTCAAGGCCAGGTTGGACACAGGGGCTTGGAGCAAGCTGCTCTAGTGGAAGGTGTCCCTGCCCGTGGCAGGGGTTGGAGCTGGATGAGCTTTAAGGTCCCTTCTAACCCAAACCAGGCTGTGGTTCTATGGTACAGCTGGCGATGGGCTTCAGCAATGCCTTAGTTTTGCATTGTGCTTCTCCTGCAGCAGATCTGCACGAGATTTATGGTGAAATATGTGTATTTATCCATATTTCACACCCGGGAAAACAATGGTGCTCTGAAAGTGAGGTGTGCCCGTCTGTCAGACATCTTACAGCACCAGGATTAAATGCACATCGTGTGTTATCTGTTAACCCACGGCAGATGTTCTCCTGAGAGGATGGAGGGTGAGCCTTGGGCAGGAGGCCAGGCTTGCTGGGTGTTGATTGTGGGTTATTGCAGGGATAGAAGTAAACGTCACACTTGTTCTGATGAGCCGATTGCAAGCTGTGCACTAGGACCCAACACCAACATCAAAATTAAGCTGCTGCTTATCTGGCTTTAAGTGCAATCATCTTTTCACTGCTCTCCTATAGCAACAGATTCCCAAGGAGCACTCTGATCCATCTATCAATGCATACCAAAAGGCAATGCACTGATGTCCTGACGTGAAGTTTCGCAGGCTGTTTCACCCACTCTCATGAGTTGCAGTGCCTGTCAGGTAAGTAACGTTGAGCAAGAATACTAAGATATTGCCTGCTTTATCTCACAAAGCAGCGTTTTCATAAAGCATTTAGCACAGCTCTGTATGGGTTGCTCATTGAGCTGGGAAATGTGATAGTTCATGCTCTAGGCAAAGTGTTCCAAATGTCCGAGGCTGAAGGAAAATAGCACTTCAAAATAAATTGGGTAGTGCACGGGGAGGTGGCAGAGATCATTACTTGCAGCTTGTCCCTGGTTCATTCAGTTCTTCCCTCTACAAGGGTTGGGGATTTAATTCTCCCTTTGACTAGTGTGAGGCTAAAAGAAAGGGATTTACACGCTTGATTTCAGCTCTGGCCAATGGAGCTGTGCTCGCAGCAAACTCCCTCTGCATTCCTGGGAAAATGGGGTCATGTGTGCTGGATTGCTCAGCCAAGCACACGAGTGGATCTGTGGCTGTGCAGCCCACAAGCCAGCTGTGCTGGGGAAATAATGCCCTTAAGAAGTCAGTTCTGCAGGGAAGATCAGAGCCTGCTGGTGGGTCACTTTTGCTGCTGTCTTATGTCTGCTCTCAAGTGCCTGGAACCATCATCCCAGAGTTCAGTACATTAGCTGGTAACCTCAAACCTGGAAGAGTTTCCAGGCAGGCTGACCAAAATCTGAGGATCTAAGACTGCCTGTACCCAAAACTAGCTAAATAAAAGGAAGCTAATCCCAGATGGTGCTGATTAAAACGTGAACTACAAAAGGCAGATTAAGGAAGCAGCCTTCAGTCTGCAAATATATTAACTGAGAGGGAGCTTGATCACTGTAGCACAGAGCTCCTGTTTCTGGAAACCCAGCACATCCTGACACAGCCTTTGGAAAGCCTGCATCCTCCTGCAGAAGATAATGGTGCTGAGCTTTGGGTCTTTTGAATACAGGGGGAATTGGTGTCTCAGTAGTCACCTTCTTGCTGAGTTATACAAGTGTGACCGTGTTTGGCATGAGTCTTTAAGTCTTAATTCCCTCGAAACATTCAGGAAAGCCTCGTACACATACATGTATAATAGCTTTCCGTGTGGTTTTGTAAAAATCTCAACCTCTGTCACTTCATCAGGTATATTGTGGCTCATGTCTGTTCTATTACTCAACCTTCATTGACTTCAGTGCCTTTTAAAAAGACAACAAAAAAGTGCTGGTTGGTTTTACTGAGCAGAGAGCTGCTCCTGGTGTGCTTCCCATAAAGTGTGCTTCACAGGCAGGCAGCAAAACTAGAGCACTGGGACCAGGCTCAGGAGACCTAGATTTGACTGCTGACAGCAATGTTTCTTTTGAGGAAGACATGTTGACTGCTACATCCCACACTAGAATTTACCCATCTCTACAGTGAATGTGATGGAAAAAGGAGGAAGCTTTGAATGGATTTGAGGAATGCTCAGAAAATGTAGTATGATGTGGCAAAAAGAATATATACTTTAAAGAAGATCTGGAGGAAACTCAGTAGAGTTGAGCCAGAGGCAGGTGTCCTATCTTTCTTACTGGTTTTATCCTCTATTCAGCAGGGAAATTTTACAGCACCAAATAAAATAATCCAGGTACCTTTTTTCTCTTTGTGAGAAAGACTCTTTGAGGGGCTTTTCCTTTAAAGATTGGGTGATGAGAGGGAGGGTCCTATCACAGTTGATTGCTGGAAAGAGTGACTGATTTACAATGCTCTGCAGCTTGAGATAGTGCATCTGGTATTTGGAGACTCTAAAATGCAAAAAGCCATGCTCATGGGGAGCCTGTTCTGTCACCCATTTCTTGGTCAATAGCTGGGACCCAGGAGTCCCAAGATCTGCAGGTCATTGTAGGCTCCACCACTGCTCCAGGGCACACGGCTGTAGCTGCCATGTTTGCTCATACTGCTCTGGCTCAGCCTGAAGACTTCTTGGATCTCTGAGGTTGATGGAGCCTTTAATGCAAATTCACAGGATACCATTGGACTTAGATCCCCATCTTCATGACTTCGCTGAAGCTACACCAAACACTCTCCAGAACTGCTCGGAGCTGGGAACAGAACAAGCCAAGAGAAATTCCAGCAAAAGGGGGCAGAACTGATTCCTGCTCCAGATAACAGTTGTTATCAGAGAAGCTCATAAATCCACCCAGTTTAAACAGCGTGTCAGGCAGCATCCCGTTCTGCATTGTGCGTTGCCTCGAGGGATCTACAGCTGCTTGTTCTGATCAATGACTTCCATTCTGTCTTTCTGTTCCCAAAAGTCACTACTTCCTGGAAAATCTTTGTGGGGGTGCTAGTTCTGTCTGTGTGGCCTTAGGGAGAAGGAGCAGAACATGTTACTGTTCCCATAAACAGCCCCAAACTACTGTTTGGCTCTTACTCAGGTGGCTGGAAAACTCACTAGTGAGTTAAACAACATATATTGGCAAAAAAAACATGCCAGAAGTATGGAGGTTGTTTAAATGTTGACTCTGGGATCTGATTTTCTAATCCAAAGTGTCTGTTGGAATACACAAAGTCTTCATTGAGACACAAAATTCGTGTCTCTCCTGGGACTTGCAATTAGACACCCCTTGCTTGAAGCATGAACACAGGGCTAGCACAGCATTTGCTGCGTCACTGTCACCCTTCTGGTGACCTACCCTGCATCCTGGTAGGTGAAGATGACTTGAGGAGAAGGACACAAGACCACACCATGGTAATCTATGTAGCTTAACATTGCTTTTTGCTGCAAGCATTGGTTTTGAGGTTCTATGGCTTAATAAAAACGAGGGAGAAAACTTACAGTTACTGTTTGGAAAAATAACCCACAGCTTTGGGATGGAAAACTATGGATTTGCTGTTGAAGAATGATGCAGAACAAAGTCTTGCAGAACAAAGACTAGATGCTGAAGTAACCTCATAACATATTCTGTAAGGAAAACACCACATCATACACTGCTGGGGTGAGTTGTCCAGAACAGGATGCTGGGAATAACTGGTATTTTGGGTGAACCTATAAAACAAGACTCTGGACTCACCCCACGCAACAGAGAGGGATGTATGAACCTGTGGGACTTGGTGTCAATCAGGCAAATGCATGATGTCTCTGTAGCAGGCTGTGGTGTCAGCAGGAGTACAAGAGGGGAAGGTTGTTTCTTCTGCCATATGAAAATGCTTAACACCTTGGCTTACCTTCGCAGGTGTTTAATATCACCTTCCTGGAAACTTGGGTCACAAAAGCTGTGTCCTTGAGGACAGACCTGACCCTCTGCTTCCCATCATAGTGAAATTTCAGAAGTAATTGTTCTGGTTGCCTTTAATTGGTCATCTGGGGTAATAAAAGGGAGATTCCTAAGGTTGGCAGAGTCAGGAAGGAAAAGGAGTCATTTTGGAGTCCTTCCTTAATCCCAGGTTCTTTGTTAGAAACATTGGTGCTATTTAATTGACTGTTAAATCCTAATCACATGAGAACCCTCCCCGAGCATAATCTCCTGTGATAAATTGCCCAGTACTCCTGGCAGAGGCACATTTTGATCTCCAGCCTTTATGAGCCTGAGTGCTCTGTGATTACAGCTGATTTTTGAGAGGGAACAAGGGAGGAATGGATCTTATTTCATTTTAAACTGATGTAAAGACAACTGACTCCAGATTTGGATGAAGATACCATTCTCTCTTCTGCTTGAGGCCTTTGCAGATGTAGCTATTTTTGTCAAGCTTTTCAGCAGATGCTTACAGGGTCCAGGTCTTATCAGCCAGCCCTTGTGGGGGGTGGGGGGGAGCAACCAGAAATTGCACAAGGTCTCATCCCGCAGGCAGGAGTGAAGGAAATGGGTTAGGTAGGAGCTGGTTATCTGTTGGAAGCAGCCTGTACACAGTCAGATCTCCAGGATCAGGAAAGAGAACTTGAAGGTGGAAATGGTAACTAGATATGAAGAAGGAACTGAGCAGATAAGAGGAGGATGGGAAGGAAGATCTGTAAGTCATTGAGAAAAACTTTCTTGTCCTTCAATCCTCTAATATTTCGTCATTTGACTCTGGTTGTTTTCCCCTCAGAGATTTCACCCTATGTCTTTGGGGTTTCTGAGAGCAACCAGAGCCACAAGGTGCTGGCATCCCTGAGGAGCACAGATGCTTGCATGGGGTGAGCATGCAGGTGAAAGTAAGGGACTTCTGGGATGCTCATGACACCATGGCACTGTGTTCCCCAAACCTTGGGAATTAGGAAAAAGGCAACCTCTGAGAGCTGTGCACCAGAAAGGTCTCTGATCTCAGACCTCCACACTTGGAGGAGGGGCAGAATTCATTTGCTCTCAGGTGCAGATTTCCAACCCACTGTGAAGCCACTTACATTTATACCCAGCTGAGAGGGCACAGGTTTAGTTTTGCTCAGACAGTCTCCATTTAGAGATTCCTCACTTGATGTTTTCTTAACTCTCAGGACAGCAGCAAAACCAGCAAAGTACTCCATGCCTGCCCTTGGGAAGGTGGTGATGAGCAGCAGCAGCCTAGAGGTTTGCTGGGACAAAGCGAAGGAACCAACATCCTGTAGCAGGAGAGAAGCAGCCCTGTGGGATGCAGCTTGCAGCATGGACATGTCTAGGTATGGCAAGAAGTCTGGCAGTCTGGCTGCATGTGTCCGCCAGATGCTGACAACTACATCTGGCAGGGGCATGGTCTGGAGTGAGTGTCCCTGGTGTCAGGCATCTGTCTCCCTTCAATGCAAGGCTTGTACTGGGACCAGCATGCTGGGGGTGATTTTCCCTGTAACTTTAAAGCTCCAGCACTAAGGGACATGGCAGTGTGTGTTGTGGTGGGCTCAGGAAACAGCCCTGGCAGAGTCACTGCACTGGGATACACCCTACCTCAGATGCCTGTTCCCAAGCATGCTGCCTGTGTCCAGTCCAGCAGCAGCTGTGACAGGGCCCCATGTCCTACCACACGCAGCACGTTCTTTGGCATGGCCCTGCTGATAACAGTGTGTTCCCTCAGTCCATTGCAGGCACATCACAGATCATCTCATTTTATCCAAATACCATTTCCCTTCTCAGTCCTGCATCATCACCAGGCTAATATCAGTGCTGTGTGACATTACCAAAGGAATGCTTGATAATATACCTTCTTCTCATCAGCTTTCTCCCAGCTCCCCTTAAATCCAAAATAATTTGTACTTCCTTATGACCCCAAAGGCAGCACAAACCAAATGTATCAGCATGAAAGCAAGCACTTTAATCAGGAAAATCCAGGATTTTTTTATTTGCTTTAATAATAATAGCAGGACTCTGAAGGGATTGAGACTAAGAAAGGAAGAGCAAATAAAATGAAATGCTATGTATGTTGTGGCTAAGAGCCAAAAGGCCTCTGGGCCAGGTTTGGATAAAATAGGGCTTAATTTCTGGTGTGAGAAACCGCTAGAGTGAATCTGTAGCAAACAAAGGGCAATTCACAAAGGAGCATAGGCCACGGATGGAGGAGGAGAGGGCAGCCTGCCAGCTCTGCCAGCTCCTGTGATTTTATCATGTCTTGCCATATCAGATGGTTTCCTTCCAGCTTCCTTTTCTGCTCGCATTTTTAAAAACCAGCTCTTCTACTCCTGAAGCTTGTAGGGCAAAACTCAAAGTACACCCCAAAGATGGTCCAGAAACCAAAAGGCAGATGAAAACCACCAGATTTCATTAACTTCAGGGAAATTAAATTGACATTCTTAAACAAGACCCAGGGAGAGGAGGGTTTCTTAAACGTTTGGGCTGGGCTGTGTGAAATGCTTGCTTGGCCCAGGAGCAGCTGTTTACATTTGAAAAGAACTGCTGTGTCAGCAGTGCTGGTGGGCTCATCACTCAGTGACTGCATTATCTCCCTGGAGAGCTTCCAGCGCTGTGGAGTGTGAGATCCCCCAGAAACTGTCCTCTTCCAGACCACCAAAACCTCTCCTCTGTGGATCAAGGGGGTCAGAGAGATGACATAAAGCCAGCTATGGGAACAGGGTAATACAAACCTACCAAGGGAATTCTCTCCATAATGGGAATCTTGCCCAATTCTTAAAAGTCCACTTTTTTTCCTTGGGAGCCTACCAAAGAGCATGTATCAGACCGGTGGCATTTCCATCACAGCCCACAGTATGGGTGGTACCAATGGGAATGAACTGCAATCACGTACCCTGATTCCTCTCAATAAATGGAGCAGAGAGAATAGCTTGTTCTGAGAATCTAAAGCTTTGCTACTAGTTGCACACTGTGCTCAATGCCCTTGAGAATTAAACAGTTGGCTGGTGGAATATACGTTGTTTTAATTGCTCAGTTCTGGGCAGTGAGTTTGGTCCTTGGTTTGGTCTTAACCAACTGGGCATTTACCGCAGTTACAGAAACTAATGGCATTATGTACAGTAGAGAAAGCTTTACAGTTGTTCTCGTAAAGCTGTTTGCAATACAGGATTACTTCTCCCAGAGGTCACCCTTCTGTTTTACCATGGTATTATCTGATTTTTGAGGCCAGTTGTGGACTTGGAAATTCTGCCCCTGCACATTTCTTCCAGCTGTTGTAGGTCCTGGGATGACACATGTTGATCCACACAGGGCAGCCTGTGGCCATTTACCAGCCCAAGACCACATAAATTCATTCTAATTTTGAAAACACCATTATGGGAGTGTAGGGAGCACAACTTTTGGGTCACCAAGTCCACTTTGGGCTTACTTCAGGCAATGATGACTTGAGCTTTCCCCATAAGCTTTGTGGTTGAACACAAGTGGCCATAAGGTGCATCTGTGGAGCAGTTTTGGCTGGTTTGAGGTTCTGTCCCAATAGAGACACTTCTAGAAACTGCTGCTTGAGTTGCTGCCACTCCAGCAGACCAAATCCATCAAGTTTTCAAGCAGAGATTGAGCTAAGGTACTGAGACGTCACAATGTAGTTGGTGGAGAGGAGGCTGGTGGAGTTTACATCAAACCCCAATTTACGTTAGTGAAGCATTCAAGCCCCATCCCAAAAGCAGGGAGGCTGTATATACCGTGGGAAGGGAAGGGATGAAATAACACTGCAGTTTGCATTATGTCTTGTGGTAGGAATCCAAATAACTCTATCTTCTCCATGCTGGCAGGACGCTGTTGGGCACAGGTATATACAGAATACACCCAAGGCACCAGCTTCAGGGACAGCAGTCTCATAGCACTGGTGAAATGTACATTAAGATACCTTCCAAGACAAATGTACTGGGAGTGACATCCCTGGCATCATTAAACCCTCTGTGAGCACTGCCCTGCTCACTGCCTGCAGATGCAGATTTTCCCCTGTGTTACATAGGCTCAGTGTGACTAATGGAAGGGAAACAAGGAGTGTTTGACCCTCACTGGTGTCATAATATCAAGTGATGCCCACCCATTGCTTGAATAATCTTACCCTTGCAGGGCTCTGACAAAGAGGGCTGTGTTCTTGCTGTATATGATTAACTAAATCCTGTGTTAGATGTAAGAGGCTGAATGGGGAGCTGAGGACACTGTTTGCAAAGATAAAGGATGTGCAACTGTACTGGCACAGGCAGTGCCCCTGCAGCAGTGGTTTGTCTGCAGATAGAGAGGCTGGGTCCTGGTTTGATCCTGTTTGGAGCTGTGCTACTTACAATACATGAAATTTGAAAAATCCCTTTGTCTGGCCTCCCTCAGACTTCCCACATGGAAAAAGGGTGTGTGGGGATGGGAGTGCTGTGAACACAGTGTGCTCTCTGCTGTTTGCATCACTCAGGCCCATCCACACAATGGGGAGGGAAGGAAAAGTCAATAGTTGTTCGGCTACAACCATCATGGAGCAGAGGCTGTCATTGTCACCCATCAGGGAAGCCTCCCAGGGATCAGGTTCTCCTGTACAAAAACATGCTCTTCCCTACCTCCAGCCCAGTGTTTCCATTGTGTGCACAGAGACTTGCTCAGACACCACCTTTTTCCTACTTGCCTTTGTTCTCCTGGTCCAAGACCACATCTGTAACTCTGCATTAGGGACTGTAGCAATATCACAAGGGGTAATGGGTTAAAACCTGAATAGGGCAAATTCAGGTTAGATATAAGGAAGTTCTTTCCTGTGAGGATGGTGAGGCCATGGCACAGGGTGCCCAGAGAAGCTGTAGCTGCCCCATCCCTAACAGTTTTCAGGGCCAGGTTGGACAGAGCCTTGGGTGACATGATCTAGTGTGAGGTGTCCCTCTCCATGGCAGGGAGTTGGAACTGGATGAGCTTAAGGTCCTTTCCAACACAAACCATTCTATGATTCTGTATCAAAGTATTACAAGGATCAGCTTCTTGCAGGATGAGGAGATCCAGTTCAGTCCCCAAGACTTTACACGTTAATTCATTTCAGCATCACCTTCTCCTCTGCTCATCATCTAACACTATTTTTGTTACTCATAAGTTTTGAAATGGAGTGAAGTAGTTTGGGCAGCTCAATCTGACTGTAAATGCTTTTGAAGATTGACAGGAACAACACTTGAATTGTTGCAATCCAGCAAAGGCATACCTTTCACTTCAGATATTGGGATAAAAATGATATCTTGTGGTGGTGTTCCAGGTTCAATTTCACCTACATCATCTGTACATTATATGGCAACAGCCATTAGAAATGAATGATGCCAAAACCAGACAGAGCCTGTGCTCTTAATTGCAGGGGCCATTTGCTCTGTTGATGACAGACAGTGGCTGCCTGTGTGCACTGACTTCACCCTCTTTGTGTGTTTCTGTGCTTTTGCTGCAGTGTTTGCTATGGAGGCAAGTGGGATTATCCCTTTTATACCATCTGTGGTGGGGACTTTCCCCCCAGGTGCTCTGAAAGGTGCTCAGACAAGTGTGCTGTCTTTGAACTGAATGCCCACAGGAATTCATGCCAGCTTCAGGAACTGGTCTCAGGGACACCGTTCAGAAATACTGAAGCCCAAAATCTTCTCCACCTCTCCCTGGTACGGCTGTGTCTTAGCTGAGATCGCTGCCCAAGGACAGCCCTTTCCAAGCACATCTGCTAAGGGGAGGAGCAAGCATGGAGGCAAACGTGGTACAACTGCCTCTGCAGTCTATTACGCAAATCTGAGACCTTTGCAAGCAGAAGTAGCTCACCATGTCCTAGTGAGGTGCTCATTAACACACAGTGCATCATTTTTAATGGGTTTCTGTTGGTGTAAGTATTCAGTGTGAGTTGAGGTAGCCAGTGGGGCTGGGGTAAGTGAGAGATCTGTACTAGATGCTTTCTGAATGTGTCATTAGGATGATGTATTTTGTATATTCGTTCTCCTGTTTGTATCTGCATGTCTATTTAAACACATGGTGAGTTTGGTTTGTAAAGAGTCCTCCTCTGTTTGCTAATTGCTGCATTTAGCATCTGGTTTCCTGTGAACACCTTCATGTCTGGATCTTGCCTTTGTGACCCTAACAAAAGCCACCCCGACAGCTCTGTCTGCTTATTCCCACATATAAAAATGCATCTTAGTCCCTAATCTGAGTCCTTCTACTGCCAGCCAGGCAATGTCACTCTTGAAAAGATTAAGCTATTATCCCATGCAGATACCCCATCTTCCAGTGGTGGAAAATACCAGGATGCACAGGACACTGTGTTCTCTGGAGTTCTGTGGCCATGTGTTTAAAACTCTGGGAAATAAAGCCCACTCATTAATTCTGTAGGTGAATTAGTGTGTGTCCCCCAATCCAAACTCAGCTGTTTGTAACTCAGAAATGAAAGTGAAGCATCTTTTGTTTTGTTTTAAAACATTTTTTTACATGCTGCTTGAGTCACAGGCTAAGATTATAGTTGATTTTGGCCTATTTACAGCACGAGGATTTTAATAGTAGACATTCACTGAACACTCAAAGAGCAGTCCCCAGACACGGACAATTTAAACTCTTTGCTACTGTGCCTTGTACTAATACCAGCTTTTTCCCATGGATCTGTATCAGACAGAGACATGATCTCAGAGGAGCAGCCTGCTTGGCTTACGTATTCAGGAGGTTTTCATGAGAAGCCATTTGTCCCACACTGAGGTTTCCAGCACCTTTGGGTTTTATCCAGCCTGCTTTGAAAGGTATGGTTACACCCCAAGGTCCGGTTTGCATTAAGCCATTTGGGCTGACAGGAGTCTAATGTAGAACAGATTTGAGTCACAGTCAAAGATCCCCACGAGGCTGAGCTCGACCAGCTGAACAGGATGACTCATGTAATCTTTGTCAGCGTGGTAGATGGTGCATGCTAAACCGCACAGGCGGACGTCTTTAACAGTAAACCTTTGTCCAGGCCAGCTCCTGGTGTGGGCACTGCTGTGAAACAGCTCTCCTGAAGCTCACAGGGTGGTTGCAGATGCTTGTCCTGGTATGTGAGCAAAGGCAGCAGCAGCCCAAGCGGTGGGGGTGGTATATGGGGCCGGCACATTCATTCCTGTCACTTGCTGGAACTGCTGAGCTATTGCATGTGAGATGTGGAAAGTCAGCATGGTCTAGAGAAAGTGATTAAACAAAGATACGGGGGCCTAAGGAAGTGCCCTGCTTAGCTGAGATTTATGAGCCATGGTCGGATATGTCACTTGAAACTGCCAAAACACAGGGGGATGGGCCTTAGCCCTTCCTGGATGTGGCAGGAACTGCAGGCTGTGCTTTCCCATCCATTTGGTGTCCATGCTGCAATACAGCTGCCTGAGTGATGCCTGTAGCTTCAGGCTCTTCCTTGGTGTTTCTTGCCTTGTCTACTTTCCTTTAGTAAAAAGGGTTCTGCAGTCTCGCTTATTTTATGTATTGAGTTTAAAAACAAGCAAACAAATCTATTTTCCTACAGGGACTTTGCTTTTTCTGCATGTTTTCTATGGAGCAGGGGAGCTAAGGTAAATAACTGTGAGGTTGTGTGTGAGGTGCTTGTGGTGGCACTGCACTGCACTGCACTGCACCCAGGGCAGGGTCTGACACTGATAGAGCCTCTGATGTGGTTGAGGAGTCTCCTGCTGACATTAAAGTACCTCTGTTCATAGCAGAAAGGGGCTGTATTTCAATCAAGTAGCATCTCTCTGCTCTGCCTGAAGAGAATGACTGGAGTTAACGGCTTGTGCTTTGGTGATATCTGCTCCTACTTCTGGAAATGAAGAGTAGTCACCAGCCTCCAGAACAGCTCCTGAGGCTTCTTTTCAGAGCTAAAA